GTTTTCTTTGATGCCTTATGATTTTTTTTTAAGGTGTAAATATTTTAGTTTTAATTTTTTTTTAATTTTATTTTAAGTTATATATATTAATAGTCGCAAAGTAATATTATATGTACAAACATCCTAGAATGTTATACATATTTGATTTTTGAAAGTAAACTTTTAAATGTACGTTTAAAATACTAATAATTGTTTTGACTTTGAGATTAAAAATGGCGCGATACGAAACAAGGTGGTGACATTATTTATTTATAATACTATTTCTTTTTCTTACACGTATGACGTACATACATACGTAAAATGAGTTTTTCTTGTTAACGCAATTATAATATAATAATAATTAACATACAAAATACCGGTATAATTATATACATATACAGGGTGACTTGTAACTCGACGTATTCCTTTCGGGAGGCACACGCTTCCGTATTTCTGAGACCTTAGTACGAGTTTCATTTACGTTGAAAGTATACGAAACGAGTACGCGTTCGGCGCTCTGATTGGCCGGCGCCAATGAACCTTTAGGGAACAGTGTGGAAAGTTCCCTAATATTGGAAAATGAGGATCCTCCGACCAGGCGAGGTGATCGTGCCTGGCGGGCTTTCTGCCCAACAGTTGTTCGTTGGGATTTTCTATCCGTGTTAATTTGCATGTAAACTTTGCATGTGCGATGTAGGATTCTTGTGACGTCATCCGTTGACATGTACCATGTGTCGCCACAAACCAACCAATCAGAGGCCTTAGTACGAGTTTGTCTTACGTTTAAAGTATTCGAAACGAGTACGCGTTCGGCGCTCTGATTGGCCGACGCCAATGAAGCAACCAATCACAGCGCCGAACGCGTACTCGTTACTATTACTTTATACGTAAAACAAACTCGTACTATAACGGATATAACGGATCGCTAGTTGACAATAAATTAAAACTAAAGTTTCAATTACTTATATCAAATCAGTAGTTTTTTATTTACTGATGTTTTTGTAGTTAGATGTTTTTGTTTTACCAAAACCGAAAATGTTGAATATATCAGAAACTAGCCACTTTAGGACCAGGGACCTCAGGAAACTAGTTGTATTTAGTTGTATTATCCCCTCCTTAGAGAAATACGTAGAGTTACAAGTCACCCTGTATAATTTAACTAGCTGTGCCCGCGACTTCGTTCGCGTGGTTGTCGAAAATAAAACAACATCGTTTAGATAACAGTTGGCTATATACATATGAACTCCACTCAAGAAGATGGTATAGAATTTTTTTTTGAGATCCTGACTACACTATATTTTTATTGGTAACTAAAGCGTATCTCGTAATAAAAAAAAAACGTAGGATTAAGAAGATTAATAATTAGGAACATAATTATTTTTATTTTTAACGAATATGTCAAAAGAACAACCGTAAAATGAAAATAAAGTAAACTAACTTTATCCTTAAACTTAACCCTAATGTAATGAAAATAAATAGGTAGACCACACCTATTTACAGGATTTATCTAACGCAAAAAAAAAAATTAGAAACTAAATACGTTAAACTAAACCCTAATCTAATAAGAATAATTAAGTAGGCGACACCTATTTAGATACCTACAGGTAACAAATTATTTCGACCAAATTAGGTACCATAAAAACAGTTTTTGTGAGTTAATCTTAAAAGATAGACACAAACAGTCTTACTACAAAAAAGTTGGACATCTGTTCAACACATGTTTAGCAAAAGTACTACCACAAAAGAGTGTTTTAGGGATAGACACGCCTTAAACATTGTTTAAATTTAAACACCCGAACGGGGTAGTTTAGCGGGTGTTTAAGCTCAGTCCGTCATTTTGTTCTGAACGTTCATTGTGAATATTACGATATTACGTGCGACTTTTTTTTTAAGTTCATTGATTTATATTGAAGTACCTAATCTAAATGGATATCATAGACTTCCTGGACTTTATTGACGAAGAAGACTTCTATTACGTCGACAGTTTTCGAGATAACTTGATACCTCGTGTACGAATTAATCCGTTTGAACGTTACGACGACGCAAATTTTAGGAAGAAATATAGGTTTAGCAAAGATTTTGCAAATAAAATTGTGGATTTAGTTAAGGAAGACCTTCCTAGTGACCGTCGTGGTGGTGCAATCCATCCACAAATACAGGTTGCTTGTGCTTTGCGATGCTGGGCTCGACATCAGGTAAGTACGCTTATAAAATCAATTAATAATTTCGTTGTAATAAAATTTACCAACGTACATGTACTGTCATTAAAGTATTACTAATTGACCTATTACTTACGGTATTTACAAGCATTTCATCAAAATTTTCCAGATTTGGTTACTTAATTAATTATTAAAACTGAACTTTAAATAAAACATAATTCTTAATTTAAATCCCCCTATATATATATTAAAATAAATAACAATCTTATAAATAAAATTCTAGAATATTCAGCTAAAAAAATTAAAGCAAACCCCCTCTTCTATATTCAATATTAAACCCTTTTTCTTATCATTATATAATTAATAAAATTAGGTCATTCCCCAGTTATAGAATAATATTTTAATCATTACTATATTTTCTTACAGATTCAAGATGATAGTGGAGACATGCATGGCATTTCACAACAAGCAGTCAGTAAAATATGCAGAAATGTTGCAGAAGCACTGGCTAAGAAAGCCCATTTATTTATTAGCATGCCGAGTTTTTTAGAAGAGCAACAAGGCACAATAAGAGGATTCAGAAGTATTTGTGGTTTCCCAACTGTGATCGGAGCGATAGACTGCACCCATATAAGAGTAAAAAAAGTGGGTGGCGAAATTAGTGAAGCTTATGTCAACAGAAAAGGATATTTCTCTATTAACGCACAAATCATAGTATTTTCTTTATTATCCATGGCCGATAATACGAATCAAACTTTCGAGTAACTTAATAAGTATTCTGAAAGAAACACTAACAATGCCGCCGGAACGGTAACACAGCAACAGATGACAACGACAACGTTCCGTTTCTTTAACATAACTTTTACTACTACTCACTCACTCTGTCTTCATCAAATATTTTTTTAAATACTAAAATTAATTGTAATTTTACTTTATCATAGTAAACATAAAATTAAAATTGTTAGTTTTTATACGATGGACAAACTAATTATACAATCATCTTATAAATAATTTTAAAATGTTTATTCGTTAAGTTGTTTGCATAGAATGAAATGCCGAAGACTGAATTGAACGAATGTATTGCGACGGTGAAAGAATGAAAAGAACGGTTTGGTTTAAACATAGTTTAGCTAGACAACCGATAGACATGGTTTTGTGGTAGCGGTAGTTAAACCATTGTTAAATGTGTGTCTAACTATTTAGACAGTGTTTAGCTAAACGCATGTTGAAACAGTGTTTAACTGATTTTTTGTAGTAAGACCGAAACTGTCGCGGACTTTTTTTTAGATCATTTAAAGAGCTATTATTCTTGAATACATATTTTTTGTGTATCTTGATCCGTTTTCACAGCGCACGCAACGGAAGGCTTCAAAGAAGAAATAATTTCTCCCGTTTTTTACACATTTACCACTATATATTTGCTCCTATTGGTCATAGCGTGATTTTATATAGCTTATAGCCTTCCTCGATAACTGGACTATCCAACACAAAAATAATTATTCAATTAGAACCAGCAGTTTCGGAGATTAGCGCGTTCAAACAAACAAACAAACTCTTCAGCTTTATAATATTAGTATAGATATTAACTCGTCGAGTACCGGTTTTGTAGACACAATTATAGAACAATAGGTTGCGGTCACCGATGACCGCTTGGTGTTTGACAGTTTAAAATGCATAATTTGTTTAAAATACCTTGTTAAATAAAATAAATACATTAGTTTTTTAGTTTTCCCACACACTTTTAAATGTAAGAGAGCCATGCTTCGGTACGAATAGGCCGGTTCGACCAGAGTGATATCACGGCCTCACAGTATACCTGTCGTGAAACTACGCCTGCGTTGGTCATCGGAGGCCAAATCCCCTAGTACATCATCCACAAAAGGCCGGCAAACGCATATTGTAACTCCTCTAGTGTTCCGAGTATCCATGGGCGACGCTGATTGCTTACCATCAGGTGATCCGTCTGCTCGTTTGCCCCCTATGCCATAAAAAAGGTGTTAGAAACGTGACGATAATGTTATTATATATATTTTATAATTAACAGTCGACCTAACCTCATAAAAACTGTTAATCGGACCAAGAGAAGCTTAGCCATGACACTGATAATTTATGAACATCACGTGTTATAGAAGAGTCATAAATAATAATTATCCTTATAGTTTAACTAGTTTTTACCCGCGGCTTCGCTCGCGTCTCAAATGGATAAAAAGTAGCCTATGTGACTAATACACACAGCGCCATCTATACCAATGTTTTCGTTTTTCCTCGAGAATATAAAATTTCCGGGATAAAAAGTACCCTATTATTTAATCCGGACTTCTAACTTTACGTTTGCAAAAATTCAAAGCAATCGGTTCAGTAGTTACGGCGTAAAAGTGGAACAAACAAACAAACAAACTCACTTTCCGATTTATAATATTAGTAAGGATAGTCTGAACTATTAATGCGTCTATATCACTATTTTTTGTATATAAATGGGAAACCTGCGACCTGCACTACCCTCGCACAATTATTGTTAAATGCGCTCTAAAATAGCATGCTGAAAGGCGTTCTATAGAGCATTTTTTATGGGATAAGCGGGTAAACGAAACCTCACTAAGAAAAATAGGACAAAACAAAACAAACAAACTTTATTGTATTAACGTCACTTGTATTAACGTCACTAATTAGTAAGTAGTGGCCCCCTCACTATACTGTCTCGATCTCGATCTGATCGAACCCGGCCACCTCTAGCCCGATAATCGCACTTGCGACCACTTGGCCAACCAACAGTTAACTTATTAAATCAACTGACAAGACTGCCTCGTTGGCCGAGTGGTCGCAAGTGCGACTACCGCGTAAAGGGTATCGGGTTCGATTCCCGGGCTGGGCAAAATATTACTGTTTTTTAAAAAAAATCTCAGTAGTATCACGGAGTCTGGAAATGTGCCCGGTATATGACAATAGGCTCACCCCCTATTACATGGGACTCATAACATAAATAGTGAAAAGTGGGTGTTACTTCAGTGTGCACCTTTGCCTACCCCTTCGGGGATAAAAGGCGTGATGTTATGTTATGATGTAAAAAAAATACTTATTTTGTTATAAATGAACATTATAATTACATCCATTTATGTCCAATATATTTAATTTATGTTCTCGTTATCAAAATTATTATTTATATAGGTATTACGTTATATATGAAAACCTATTTCGTTATTTATACTTTTATGCGACGTTATAACTAGAAATACCTATTACAAAAAACACTAGCAATATTTTACAATCTTATATTATTGGATTCATTCACAAAAACTTTATTTGTTTATTCTTTATTATTAGATTTTGCTCATAGCTTTGCCCGCCTATGTGGTGTGGGAGAGCCAAGCTTCGGCTCGAATGGACCGGCTCGACCGGAGTGATACCGCGGCCTCACAGAAAATTAACGTGAAGCAACGCTTGCGTTGTTTCGTCGTGTGAGTGAGGTTAACGGAGGCCCAATTACCCTCCTCCCCTTCACCAATCTCTCCAATCCCTGAATCCCCAACGATTCTCAAACTCCTAATCCTTAAAAGGCCGGTAACGCACTTGTAACGCACCTGGTGTTCCAGGGGGGATAACCTCTTTGAAAAGTAAACTTTCCAACTGTGAAAGAATTTTCCAAATCGACCCAGGAGTTTCGGTATTTACATACTAGTTTCTTTATTAACATATTAGCTTTTACCCGCGGCTTCGCTCGCGTCACAAAAGGATAAAAAGTAGCCTATGTGACATATACCCATACACATAGCGCCATCTACACCAGTAATTTCGTTTTCCCTCGAGAATATAAAATTTTACCGGGATAATAAGTACCCTATTATTTAATCCAGGCTTCTAACTTTACGTCTGCAAAAATTCAAAGCAATCAGTTTAGTAGTTACGGCTGTTTGTTTGTTTGTTCCGCTGTCACAGCGGAACAAACAAACAAACAAACTCACTTTCCGATGTATAATATTATATATAGTAAGGATGCAATAATAATTTAATAATATTATTATCGTTAGTTTTTTTTTGTATATTTAATTTCTGTTATCGTATTGAATGTTATTTTGTTATACTCTAATGTTTTTTGTTCTTTTCTTTACTTACTCTTTTTATTTATTTATTTATTTATTTATTTATTACTTCTTCACCAAAGATGACAGTGAATGGCGGACTTATTACCTTAAGGCATTCTCTGACAGTCAACCATAGGGAAGTGCAGAAAAATGAAGCTCTTTTAATTTTGTTATTCATATTTTGTATTTATGTAAAAGTATCTGTATGTCGCAGAATCAACAAAGATGCACAACTATCGAGTATCGTTATTTTAGAACAACGCCATCTGTTATCATTTGTCGGAAACGTCAAGCAGTGTGCTTGGGTGATGGTCGGTACGGGGCGTGGCATGTTGACATTTGACAGGCGTCACTTTAGAGTTGGACACGAGGGTGAGCGGTTGTTCTGCCAGCCCGTACCGAACTTACCGCGTTTACGCAGAATCCGATGACGAAGTACCCCCAATGGGTGCATTTTCTCCGACATGTATATATTTTAATTTAAATTTTATAAAAAAAAAAAATAATAATCTTTGTTTTGTGTGCCAATTGCCAAATAAATGTTTTTTTTCTTTCTATGATATATTTCCTCTTTATAATATACTTCTTATTGTTGCGGGGAGCTGGTGGTTGCAGGTGGCAAGTTGTTCTTCGACGTGGAGGACTAAGGGCCTTTGTCCAGCAGTGGGCGTCTTTCGGCTGTGGATAATGATCGATATACTGGCTTCTACCAGCAGCTTTGCCTGCATGCCTGACATAAAAAGTACTCCAGTTCAGATTCCAGACCACAATCTACCGCTGTTCCAAATTTCATTCCGATATCTTCAGCAGTTTTGAAGTTATTGATAAACAAACTTATACACAGTTTCCCATTTATAATATTAGTATTTTTTTTTTATGGGGGGAAAATCATCGAATGACTGCTCCCGCCTGGGTGAGGCGGGAGGGAGTGTCAGACTCTTACTGACTAAAAACCACCCCGTTCCTTCTCCTGCACGTCGAGCCGGAGCCCCGGTTACCCGTTAGGTTCTCCGCGACATAATATTAGTATAGGATCTAATAGATGTATTTTATTGCTAAACTACTGAAGCAATTTTAATTAAGTAAATTTCAGATTTATAAATATTGGTTTATAGTTTTTTGTTTTTCGAAATATTATTTAATCTTTGTATCAAAACAAAATCATGTTTGTAATACCTACGAAATTAGCGATGAAGGATCATTCAGTAAATGCATTTTTTTTTCTTTTTTGTTTTGTTTTTTTTTTATTTAAGTGAGTATTTGTAATTTGTATATTACGTCAAGTGCGTCTTTATATTGTTCTCACATATACGTACAATATCGTATAATACAGATATAACATAAGATCACACTTCTTATCCCCGATGGGATAGGCAGAGGTGTACATTACGGTACTTAATGCCACTGTACAGTTACGTATCTACAATATTGAATAATCACATAACATAACATCACACCTCTTATCCCCGATGGGATAGGCAGAGGTGTACATAACGGCACTTAATGCCACTGTACAATGTAACACCCACTTATCACTATTTATCTTATGAGTCCCATGTAATAGGGGGTGAGCCTATTGCCATATAACGGGCACAATTCCAGACTCCGTGCTACAACTGAGATTTTTTGAAAAACACTCAGTAATACTTTGCCCGACACGGGAATCGAACCCGAGACCACCCCTTGCCTGGCAGTCAACGAGCAGGTAATACATATATCAGAGAGATTGTAAAACATATGTTTTTTTTAAAAGAGTAATGAATGGAGTTTCTTGCTCGTTCTTCTCTATTCCTATCTACATTTTGGACCGAACGCCTGGCTACACTGACGGACAGACTGACAGACTACTTATTATTTATTTTATAATTGTTGACGTTTCAAAAGTACCAATTTAGGGTTTAACTCGTCGAGTACCGTCATTATAGACACAATTATAGAACAATAGGTTGCGGTCACCGGTGACCGCTTGGTGTTTGACAGTTTAATTAACATAAATGCTTTAACTTTGACTTTGCAAGGAATTTCAAATCCTGTTACGGTATAAATGGACCTCTAGGTACTTACCTTACAAAGCGGATATGAATGCGCCCGTCGGTAGAGGTCGCCCTAAACACAATGGACATATAATATCAACCAGATTGGCGATGCATAAGTGGGTATTACATTGTACAGTGGCATTAAGTGCCGATAGAGATGGGATTTTACCCGGAAAAAACCCCAAGATGGGAAAAAACCGGGAAAAAACCCGGGGAAAATTCCCAAATGGGAAAATATTCGGGTTTTTTCATATTTAACCCATGTAAC